GTCTCCCGCCCCGCCCCGGCCGGCCCGCGCGCAGGCCCCCAGAGGAGGAAGTCCCGCTCTCCCGCGGCGGCAGCGAGGCCAAAGGCGCGTCCGGAGCAGCCCCGGGTCCCCGCAGGATACCCGGGTGCAGTAGGCTTCGGTCTCTCCTTTCCCTCCTCCTCGCAATGCCCGTGAACCTGGAAACCGGGAAGACACCTGGCCGGGAGACCCGCCCCGGGTCCTCCCTTGAGAGCCTGAGGGTAATGGGAGCCCAGGCAGGCTTGCTGTCCTTCCAGGCTTGGCCAGCCTGGGAGAGGTGGGCATACCAGGCTTATTTCAGGAGAACCCGAAATATTTTGATGATAGGTTCATGATAGTGACAAGACTCAGTTCAAGTTCCCTATTGGTTCTTTCATTCATTCATTAATTCATTCCTAAGTTTCAGCAATGTACCTGCCAAACAGTGCAACGCCCTTGTGGTCTTTGCAGACGTTTGAAATAATCAGGCTGGAAGGGTGTGAGTGGAGCATTTTCAGGACGATCTAATTAGTGAACGAGAAAACGGGCTCAGTCAGCAAAGGAAGGCCTCTCTAAGAAAAAGCCATCTAGCCACGGACTTAGGGGTGGAGGACGGGAAAGCAGACAGGTGTGTGGTGGAATTGAAGGAGCAAAGAGCCGAGCCAGGGAGACTAGAGCAGGGTGGACAAATAGGTGAAGGTGGGGGCTAAGAGAAGGGACCAGAAAACATGCAGGGTTTTAGACGCTTTGCAAAGGGCATTTTAGTTTGACCCTCAAAGCAATGAGTAATCACAGAAGGCTTCAGCAGGAGTGACACAATCTGATTCCATCAGGGTGGAGAAGGGCTCTTGGAGGGCAGGCGAGAAAGAAGAATTTCTAGGCAATTATTCAACAGTCTAAGGAGCTCTAGTGGCCCCTTCCAAAGAGAACTGCACGGCTCACTCAAAGGTGGCACCACTCTGTCTGAGTCCGAGGGAGAAAAATGGGCACTATCCTGTCATAAGGTTTGTTGTTGTTATGTGCCGTTGAGTCGCTTGTGACTCGTAGCGACCCTATGTACAACAGCTTCTAAACTCTGCTCTGTCCTGTGCCAATCGCACTGTCTCCGACACACTCATCCCGATTGCCCCAGTCACCGAATCAATCCATCTCCCAGAGGGCCTTCCCCTCCTGAGCCTGCCCTCCACCCTCCTAAGCTTCAAGTCTCTCTCCAAGGACCGGTCCCTCCTTACAACACGACCAAAGTATGTCAGACGAAGCCCTCAGAATCCTTGCCTCCAAGGAGCAGCCCGGTTTAACCCTCTTTAGGATGAATCTGTTTGTTTTCTTAGCAGTCCATGGCACCCTCAACACTCTTCTCCAACACCAAAGCTCAAAAGCATCAATTCTCCTTCTATCATCCCTGGTCATTGTCCAGCTCTCTGACACATAACAAGTGATTGCAAAGACCATGGTCTATACCAGATGCACCTTAGTCTCCAGTGACACATCATTGCTCTTGAGTACAGCACACAAAAATTCCATACAGGGTCAGCTGAGGGTAGATTAGGACTTGAGAGCCAGAGGATGATTATATTGAGCAGAGCAAAAAAGTGGAAAAGACAAAGATTGAATACCTGTTTTAAAGACACGCCTACTCCTGCACTTCCCTGGACCCTTATACCACTGCATGTAAGCCTTCTCTACTGGATTCCTGGGTAACACATAGCCACAGCTAGGCCTGGAGGGTGGGAAGTGTTGTTATGCACTACAGGGTCAGAACCCTTAGATGACCCTCCAGCAAGTTTTCAAAGACAGTAAACCACGTGGGAGGTGATTGCCCGTAGTTCTCTCTCACAGGGCTAGTGGATTTTAACCCAGTGCCTTTGGGTTTAGCAGTGCAAGTCCTTACCATTGAGCCACCAGAGGTCCGTGGAGGTGAAAAGAAGAGGAGCTAACAGGCAGGGCAAGCCTATGGTGGCAGCAGGGAAGCAACAGCACATCTTTCGCTCATTTATCTCAGTTTAACAAACAAAACTCTCTCCGTGGGTTACTGAGACTGTAAATCTAAACCAGAGGAGACCGCCCATCTTTCTCCCATTGAACAGCTGGTGGATTTGACCTGCTAGAGACTTTCTGATAGCAGTGCATAGCATTACGGACTGTGCCACCAGAGTGAGCATGTCTTTCTGCATTCTTAAATGGTTTGAAGTTTTGAATGAAATTGTCTTTGTAGCCTTATTTCTTAGATGCAGCTTAGGAGTGCTAGTGCCACAGTGATTAAAGAACTTGGCTGCTAATGGAAAGGTCCATTCGCTTCTCAGTGAAAGAAAAAGGTGTCACTTTCTGTGAAGACAGAGGAATGGTGGGAACCCTGGGGGGCAGTTCTACTCTGTCCTTCAGCGTTGCTAGGAGTCTTTGACTGGACAGCAATGGTTTAGGTCTGAATCCCAGGAAAGCCATTGATGGGATGAAATACACCTGGCAAGAACAAATATTCTCTCTAGGTCTGTTTCCTTGAGAAATAGAAAATTTATATACCATGGACTGCCAGGAGAACAAACAGGTTTATCCTGGAGAGGGTGAAGCCAGGCTGCTCCTTTGGGCATGTTGCAAGGAGGGACTGGCCCTTGGAAAGGACATCATGCTTGGAAGGGTGGAGGGACAGAGAAAGAGAGGGAGACCATTGATGAGATGGATTAATACAGTGACTATTAGGATAATAAGGGTAAGTGTGTCAGAGACAGTGAAGTTGGCACAGGATAGAGCAGGTTTCAGGGCTGTTATACATAGGGTCACTATGAGTCACAAGTGACTGGATGGCACATAACAACAACTGAGTCATAGGCGACCCTATGAAGGAAAGATCTGGACACTTGTATATCTTTCATTGTTTCTCCAAGTTCATAGGGTTTCTGGAAGCAAGCTATTTCAGAAGTGGATGCCACTCCTGATTCCAAGCTTGTTTTAATCGGGGAGCCCCACCAAACACTGTCCATCATGGGTAACCATTATCACATTTGATGCATCAGTGTCACAGTGTTCAGCATCACAGCAAACACGAGTTACCTCTGTACAGCAAATGGACAGACCAGCGCTATACAACTTAGAAGAATGACCAAAACCAATTAAAACCAGGCATGAAGGCTGCAGATTAAAATCACCCACCTTTGGCTTGGTAGCATCAAGTTCTGTCCACTAAGCCAACAGAGCTCTCTCTATGTTGTTGAAATGTGTTACACAAAGTTTGGGCTTGGTGTAGATACTCAATAAGTAATACATTTTACTATTTTTTTTGCACGTAAATATACAAGCAATGAAAATGTTGAAAATGCTCTTATGCTAATGTGGGGAAATATCCCTTTTCCAGGATACCCTGCTATGCTGAATAACATCTTGTTGTTGTTGTTGTTGTCAGGGGCCAATCTACTGGCTCAGAATGACTCTATGCACAACAGACGGAAGCTGTGCTGACCCCACACCATCCCTATCGCTGCTGCACTTGAGCTCATTATCATTGACACTGTGTCCTTTCATCTAGTGGGGTATCTTCCTCTTCTTTGCTGGTGCTCTGCTTTCCCAAGCTTGTTGTCCTTTTCCAAGGACTAGTCCTCCCTGATAACATGTGCAAAATATGTGAGACAAAGTTTCACTATCAAATAACTGCACTTTTTCCAAGACAGATTTGTTCGTTCTTTGGACAGCCCATGGTATATTTAAAACTCCCCACATGACACTTCAAAAGCATCAATTCTTCTTCAATATTTCTGACTCATAATCCAATTTTCACATGCATATGAAGCAATTGAAAATACTATGACTTGGTCTTTCAAATTGAACTCTTGCTTTTCAATATTTTAAGAGATCCTTGTCAGCCAGTTTCCCCAGATTTCTCTTTTACTTCTTTCTCTTTATTCTTTTTTTCTCTTTAGAAAAATGAGTTTAGGCTGTACTCTGACCAGTTTGGTTCTGTGATCTCTGAATTAACAAAAGTACAATCGAAAGCATTGTTCACTAGTGAGGAATTCACAGGGCAAAGCAGGGGGGCTCCCAAGGGTTACTTTTTGCATCTCGAGTAATACTTTGAGAGAAGTAAGTGGAATAGACATCCCCTCACCATCCCTGCCCAGAATCTTGCTCCAGATAAGTTGAGAGCTCTAAGATCTAGTTGTTGTTGTTGTTATGTGTTGTCAAGTCGTTTGCGACTCATAGCGACCCTATGTACAACAGCCCTAAACTCCGCTCTGTCCTGTGCCAATCTCATTGCCTCTGACACACCCATCCC